TATATAGTTCTCTGTCATTTTTTGGTGTTAAAGTGTCCTTTTACAAAACGACATTTATTATAGGTGAATATTTTGTCATTATTATGTTTTAATATATTTAGTAGTATGGTGCTGACAGCACCAAGGCCCGGAATTCAATACCTGTACTGGGCAGCCAAAAAAATGTGTGAGTGTGTGTGCATGTGTGCACATTTAGTAAACAATGAAAAAAAGGAAACAAAACCTATTAATTTCCAAAATATTTTTGGGAATTTTACTGGTCCATATGTGTTCCTAGTCAATGGTCTAGGAATTATTGTTTTAAAAGATATATGTTTGGCTTTGTGTTTATACATGAGTACCTGTAAACAATATTTGTATCTAGAAATTCTTTTTTATTGACCGGTAAGGGGATCACAACCCTCGGCGCAACCCTTGGCATGGTGTGGTCTGCACCACGCTCAGCCAGTGAGTGCACCGGCCATCCCTATATAGGATCCGAACCCGTGGCCTTGGCGCTACCAGTGCCGCACTCTCCCGAGTGAGCCACGGGGCCGGCCCTAGAAATTCTTTAATTTAGTCACTGATTGATTGAATATTTGCTGACTCCCTCCTTAATGCCAGACACTGTACTTAATGCTTTACATATCTTGTTCATCTTTATAACTAACCCTGCGAGCTTTGTATTATTCTCCCTGTTTACAGTGAGGAAATAGATTCTCAAAGATGATGTAATCCACCCAAAGGCTGGATAGCTATGAGCGGTGTAACTGCAGTTAGAACCCAGGTCTCCCTGATTACAGAGGCCATTTGTGCTCTTTGTTCTATCTAGTGGTTGATGACCCATGTTCTTCAGACCTGTGGAATTTTAGTATAGATTCCATGAATTCACAGACTCTTGGGTGTCTTTTTAGCCAAGATATGCTGAAGGTACAATGATCGTGTAGAGGGTTTTATTTTTTTTTTATTTTTATTTTTATTTTTTTTGTCCTTTTTGAGACCGGCCGCACCGCGCTCAGCCAGTGAGCGCTGTGAGCGCACCGGTCATCCCTATATAGGATCCGAACCCGCGGCAGGAGCGCTGCTGCGCTCCCAGCGCCGCACTCTCCCGAGTGCACCACGGGCTCGGCCCATCGTGTAGAGGGTTTTAAAAAAAAAATTTTGTTGGGGGCTGGCTGGTTAGCTCAGTTGGTTAGAGCTTGGTGTTATAACACCAAGGTCAAGGGTTCGGATCCCTGTGCTGGCCAGCCTCCAAAAAACCAAACAAACAAAAAAACCCATTTTTTTTTTTTTGAGTGGCCTTGAAGTACAAAAAGTCAAAAACATTTCTCTACCCTACAAATAGTAATTATTTGAACAGTAGGTGGGAGTTCCTCATTTCTGGTGAGGTTTTATTTATTTATTTATTTATTTTTAAAAAGATGACCAGTAAGGGAATCTAACCCTTGGCTTGGAGTTGTCAGCACCACGCTCAGCCAGTGAGCAAACCCGCCATCCCTATATAGGATCTAAACCTATGGCTTTGGTGTTATCAGCACCACACTCTCCTGAGTGAGCCACGAGCCGGCCCTTCTGGTAAGTTTTAAATTAGGAATGAAACTACCACCTTGCCTGAACCACTGTGATTCTTAACCTTTGGTTCTAGCTACAGGCTGCTTTCCAGGGGAATAATATTGCTGCTATGTGAAATTAGTGGATACCCAAGAAACACTTCAAGAACACTTGACTAGGAATAGAAAATAAGATAGGGGCTGGCCAGTTAGCTCAGTTGGTTAAAGTGTGCCTTGTAACACCAAGGTCAAGGGTTCAGATCCCACACTGGCCAACTGCCAAAAGAAAACAAAAACAAAGACTTATTACTGATGTGAGTTGCTGAAGTAGACAAATTCCAGCTGTGAAGCTGTGGGGCTCTGTCTATTGCAGTGTTTCTTAAATTTGCCTGCACATCACAGCCTTCTGTGGTGCTTTTTAAAAAAATACATAATCCTGTGCCCCTATTTAGACGTTCTGAATGTGTCTCTTTGACTGAGGGGCCCACATATATGTGCAGTTGAAAAACCTCCTCCAGGTGATCTTGAGGCCCAGCTGACATCATCTCAGCTTACCTCTGGCTGTTACCAGATAATTGGGTGCCACATTAGCCTTGGGAAGAGTAAGTCATCCTTAGGCTAAGAATTGCTGTCCTAAGCACTCTCTTTAAAGTTGCAGCTTAAACTGTTGATCACGGTTGCTGGAGGTAATAAATGAAGCAAGCCCTGGGATCATCGGAGCTCCCCAAGGCATTTTTAGTCCCTTCTTTTCCTTCATTGTTCACTGAAATTATGAGTTTTCTCTCAGAAGCCCACTTCTGTAAACTGCTTGATAACATGCTCACAATTTCCTTTTTTTAAATGATAGTTGTAGAAGCGTAATTTTATGGCCAGTTGATCATCCACAGATTGATTTCATGCCTTTCTGTATCTTGTACATAATCTGTCAGTGGCATGAGAGGAGAACAGCTAGGAAGCTGCTCTGAGGCCTACCCCAAACTCTTTACTGTGGTCCATAAGACCTAGTGTGCTGTGGTCCTTGCCCTGCCTCACACCAACCTCTCCCTCACTAGCTGTGTTTCGGACACACCTGTCGTCATCCAGTTCCTTGAATATGCCAACCTCATGTTTCTTATGCCCTCACATCTTTTGGTGGACTCCCTCTCATTACTGGGGTCTCAGCTCAGATGTTGCCTCCTCAGAGAGAGGTTCTCTCATCAGTCTCTGTTATATTACCTGTTTTATTTTCATCATTGCATTTATCACTATCAGAAATAATTTCATTTACTTGTTCATTGTTTGTCTTTCCACTCTAATGTCAGCTCCATAAGAGCCGATACCTGTCTATCTTGTTTCCCATTGGACTCCCAGCATCTGGAACAGTGTCTGGCTCGGAATAGATGCTCACTGAGTAGTAGAGGAATGAATGCTTGGGGCTCTACACGCTCACCACCCTTTCCATAGGGCAGGGCTGAGCTGAGCTTGCAGAGGTATCTCTTTTTGCTAGTAGCTTAGAACTGTGTCACTCTTCTAGAGCAAAGCTAAATATCCTTGAGCTTAAAGATTTTTCTAAATCTGTCATACTGCAGTGTTCCCATGGAGTTCTTCCCTGCCCACGTGGTGTAGGTTAGAATGACAACAGTTATTTGAAAATGTATGTCCATAAGGTTCAATGACAGGGTAAATGATTGCTTTGGATTAGAGTTAATTTCATAGTCTCTCAAGTGGTGGTGGGATTTTTGTCTTCTGGGCAAGAGCTGTATTCTGAGATCCTGAGCAGTAAAGAATATCTTGGATTTATAAGAATTTAGCCCTGTTTGTTTCTCCTGTCTCCCGTTGCTATAGAAATATAGTAGTCTGGGTTCAGACAGATTTGTGGTTTGAGCTCCTAACTCTAAGGGACATAAGTAGGGCCTGCCTAGATAGTAAAACACTGTGTTTTGTAAAGATCCTTCCAAAAGCTTCAGAACCCTCCAGGGTTAGAGAGGTCCTCCCAGTGAACCCCTTTGATAATCTGATGATAGTAACAGACCCTCTTAGAAAAATGTACAAACACCTGTGCGTATGGGTTTGCATATAATTTTGAGGGGTATAAGGACTTGCTGAATGCCCTTCATGGACCTTAAATTCTGTTTGAAGATTTAGGCTGGTATTTTTGTCCATCATAGCTGGGTCTTAGCTCTTCCATGGCTGTTTCTTTCTGACTTGGTCTCCTGTCTTCTGTGCTCTCTCTTCTTTTTATAATAACCTGATGGACCCTCTCAGGCCCAGAAGAGGCGATATTCTCCAGGAGTCCAGGTACTCAGTTCTTGATCCACCTTGGCCATCCCTTATTCCTATGTGTCCATCTGACATTTTTTGCTCTTTAGAGGCCCTGTAGCTATTGTCACAGGAGCCCCCCACCTCTCATCTTGATTGCATCTCCACCTTGCATGTTGGCCATCTAGGACAATGGGGAGCTCATCAAAGGAGTGGCATGCCTCGTGTTCCCCTCTCCTTTCATCACCCTGCCTCTGCACTGCCTTGGCACTGGGCTTGTTCCAGAATGGTTAGTTCATCATTTCTAAGGAAGAATTTGCTCCTACAAATCTATTGGAGAGAAAGGGCCTCTGAAGTAGATAGAACAAAGGTTGGGTTGTGGGGAACCTTTCAGTTTTCTCCCCATGAGGGGAGAACCTTGCCCTCTTATTAGTAGTAGTATTGGAAGAAATTGTATGTGGATGAGGCTTAAGTGGGCTGCAAAGTCTTTGACTGATAACAGTCATTGTGGCATGATAAGCCCATCCCGGAGCCTGGTTCTGGCAGTGTTCTTTCTGAGTCCTAATCCATTTAGCATCATACACTTATAGAATTTTAGAATTTGAAAGAAGCTATCCTGAATGGAAAGATTCCCCTACTCAGTCAAACAGGTATTTTCAGAATACCTGCTGTGTGAAAAACACTTACAGGGTTGTGGGGGGGTGAAGGAAAGGGATTGAAGTAGGGACATGCGAACATGCAGAATAAATGATTTTTTTCTTCAAGAAGCTTACATGGCAGTTGGGGAGATAGGTATATATGCAGAAAGAAGAAACCTCTAGTATTGGGCATTAATTATGAGGGTACTTCAAAAAGTTCATGGAAAGATTCATATTATTTTTTAATTATATTTTTCCACAACCTTTTTGAAGTACCCTTATGTATGCCCAATAGTGATCTCTGGGATGATTCAAGTCACACTCCAGAGTCTTACAGGGGCCATTTCAGGCTCACCCCAGATTGGCAGCAAGGAGAATTACTGAAGGCAAGTACCAAGTTCAGTCTCTTCCTGGACCCATATCCTCTGACTAACCATCCGAATGTGGGTTCTCAGGGGCTGCTGGTGAGGCAGAGTGGTTGTCTGGTCTCCTGGAAGTGGCTCAGCTTGTATGTGCAAAATTCCTGTTGCTGTTTGTACAGGCAGTTCTAAGAGCTCTTCCTTACTGTCCCTGCTTTTCTCTCTTTGCTTCCCAGCGGGTGTTCCCCTACATCTCAGCCATGGTGAACAATGGCTCCCTCAGCTATGATCACGAGCGGGATGGGCGGCCTACAGAGCTGGGAGGCTGTACGGCCATTGTCCGCAACCTCCATTATGACACCTTCCTTGTGATTCGCTATGTCAAGAGGCATTTGACGGTGAGTCCCTGTCTTGGATCAGTTGATGGTGTGGGTTGTCTCACTCCTGCTTCCATGGCCTGACCTTGGCTTATGTCTTCTTTTTATTCTAGATAATGATTGACATCGATGGCAAGCACGAGTGGAGGGACTGCATTGAGGTGCCTGGGGTCCGTCTGCCCCGGGGCTACTACTTCGGCACCTCCTCCATCACTGGGGATCTCTCAGGTACTGCCAGTGCCCTCTTTATTTGCCCTGACTGTGGCCTCCTCTTAATACCTAGGCCTTGCTGAGGCCTCTCAGAGAGGAGAGCCAGATGAGCAGAGCTCTGGGAAGCAGGTGCCCTGAGAGTGCTTCTCTTCCTGCATTCTTGTATCCAGATCCTTTAGAAGCCCCTGGCTCTGGCTCTCCTAGTACAGTTGTCTCCAGGAGATGGGTGGTGCTAAAGGAAGCAGCGTTTGCCTCTTCATCATCCCAGCTAGTAGCAGTGAACACCCCAGCACTCAGATTTGTGGTCTTTTAATGCCAATACCCACTATAAGGAACTAGAGCTTACTTGAGAAATGGCTGATGCCAAGTCTTAGGCAGGAAGTATATAGGCCTAGAACTTCCCAGAAAAGCAAGGAAAATATCAAAAACTTCTAAGTTCATGTAAAAGGACTCAGGGGCCAACTTGAATAAGCTCTTACTGGACAAAGACGGGTTGAGTTGAGCGGTTTGGATCCCCTTACCAGCCAGCTGCCCAAAAAAAGGATAATAACATCAGAAAATTGAAACATGTCAAATATGTTTAAATATATGAGTTCATAATGATACTTTTTTTTGGCAACTGGCCGGCACAGGGATTGAAACTCGGACGTTGGTGTTATCAGAACCATGCTCTAACCAACTAAGTTAACAGCCAGCCCTCTGAGTTTATAATGGCACTTTAAAGAAAGAGAGAAATCCAGTCCCTAATTCCTTGGTCCTTTCTCTGGTAATTATTAGGGAAATTCAGAGTCACAATTACAAGGAGCTGCAGAAAAACAGGCATAGTCCAGAAAGGCAGTGTGTTCTGTGCCTGCACTGAGGGGAGCCGCACTGCTACTGTGTCTCCTCTTACCATGCTAGAAGACTTTATATATAACGTGGGATATAGATCTTATGTTATCTCTAAATTTTAAAATCCTACATGCTTGTTGATAAAATACAGAATATAGAACATGCCCCACTCCCCATTCTTATTTTTAGTTAGAAAATGGAGAGATTTCAATTATTTTTTCAAGGTCACTTAGTTGACTGTGGATCAGAGGCTTGAACCAAGATACTGACTCCAGGATACCCCCCCCCCCTTTTTTTTTTTAAATAGATGACCGGTAAGGGGATCTTAACCCTTGACTTGGTGTTGTCCGCACCACGCTCACCTGCCTATATAGGGATCTGAACCCATGGCCTTGGTGTTATCAGCACTACACTCTCCCGAGTGAGCCACGGGCCGGCCCAGGATACCCCTTTTTGTGGTAGCTTGAGCAGTCCTTGTTCTTTTTTTCTCTAGATAATCATGACGTCATTTCCCTGAAGTTATTTGAGCTGACAGTGGAGAGAAACCCAGAAGAGGAGAAGCTGCATCGAGATGTGTTCCTGCCCTCAGTGGACAACATGAAGCTGCCTGAGAGTGAGCACAGGGTATCCTGGGACACGATCCCACGGTTGGGGAGGAGGTTGAATTGCTGTGTAAGGTCTGAGGTCACTTGCACCCACTGCTTGCAGGGTGGTCTCCTTTCCGTGTGGGAAGAATATGGAGTTCCTGCCTTTTCATTTGTCTTCGTGTTACAGTCGAGCAGCAGGAGGGCTGCTTCATTTTTAAACTGAGGCGTCTGGGCCAGCCTGTGGCTCACTTGGGAGGGTGTGGTGCTGATAACACCAAGTCAAGGGTTAATAAATTGAGGCATCTGGAAAGGGGGGAGTCTAAGTTCTGGTTCCCCATAAATAGGTGTCATAAACGGGGGACTAAGCCTGTAGGTTGATCTTTCCCTCCTGGGGGCCCCCCTGTTTCTGACTGCTTTTCTCTTGCTTCCTCAGTGACAGCCCCACTGCCCCCCCTGAGTGGCCTGGCCCTCTTCCTCATCGTCTTTTTTTCTCTGGTGTTTTCTGTATTTGCCATTGTCATTGGTATCATACTCTACAACAAATGGCAGGAACAGAGCCGAAAACGCTTCTACTGAGCCCTCCTGTTGCCACTACTTCTGTGACTGTCACCTATGAGGTGTGGGAGGAGCAGATGCTGACCCGAGCATGTAGCCTGGCAGGCCTTCTCCAGTCTCCAGCAGCTAGTCAGGGACTAAGTTCTGTCACTGGAGCTTTGAATGCAGGGACCTTGCATTCCCGTGGTCATCCATAGGGACATTTGACTCTGGTCCAGGAAGTCATCCACCCCAGGGCAATGCTACTGTGATGTGCCTTTCCCTGCAGCCCTTCCACTTGGGAGAGAAAAGGCATGGAGAGAATGTATGCTGTTGTGATGCCAAAAATCCCAGAACAACATTTCATAGCCCAGCCTGCCTTGTTGTTGGACTCAGAGGCCCTACTACTTCATTTTTCAGTCTGAAGAATAGAAAACTGATAACACCTCATATCTTGCAGCCATTCATTCATTGGTTTTTGCTTTTTATCTAAGTCTCTATCCCCCTGAAGAGCTATCTTTGGAAATCGGGATGGAAACTTCTTCCCTGCCTCACCTTCCTCTCTCCCTTCATCGTCCTCTCCATGTGCAACCTGAGCTGGAAAAGACATTTGGATGCCTCTCAGTTGGGGACTGGGGCTGCAGAACAAACTTAGGTTTCACTGACCTTTTCAGGCAGTCCTAGGGCTTTCTGCTTTGACTACCTGCTCCAGCCTCCTGGGTCTGTTGGCATGGCTGTGGCCTTTTCCAATCAAGTCCCTTCAGGCCCTCAGCAAGTCTGACTGAAAGTTGGTGTGCAAGTCAAGAGCAGCTTGGAAGACTTCATGGATGCCATGGGATTAACTGTAAAACTGACCAGCTCCAGGTTTGATATCGAAAGCAGCTTTTGTCACATGGTCTGACTACATGGAAATGTTTCTGGACTCACTGGAGCCTGCTTTGCTGCATGTTTTGTGTTTATCATGATTTTTGGAATCCCACTTTGACTGTTGAGAGTGTGAGGTAGCTTTCTTCTTATAACTTGGGCTTGGATACTCCCCAAAGAGGAAATTTGGCTTCTTTTTCTTAATGGATAAGAAAAAGTTGCTGTTTTCATGTTGCAAGTCTGGGATCAATAGACCCTCATCATCTGTGCCTGGAAGAGTCAGTTGTCATTAAGCAGCACAGCCTGAGTGCTGTCTTCTGTGTGTCAGCCCTTATTCCACTGCCTTATCTGACAAGAGGTCACATGCTGCTCACCTGTCTGCTCTCTAGTTAGATTGGTCAGAGTCACCCTGGAGGGCCTGGAACTATGACCTCTCCTATGAACCTCTGTAGCCTAAGGGAAATTCTTAAAATGGCTGATGGAACCAACATGAACTTCTGACTCAGTGTCCTTCCTTCTAGGAGTGCGTTTGGGGAAAGGTCTAGGCTTTTTTCTTGATCCAAGCCCATCAACCCTTTCTCTGCCTTCTTCTGGGTTGGGAAAGCCCTAGCTCAGCCCAGAAGGAAGGAGGTCATCTTGGCTGGGCATAGGTCATGTCTCCTTGGGCCTTCTAGTCTTCCCATGTGCTTAACTAAGCAGTTCAGATTGTAGGTCTCCTGCAGGTGGGATGAAGGTGGGGCGGAGACTGAAGGCATTCTCCTAACACCTTCCTAACAATAGCTGAGTTGCTTCAGGGTACCAGAGGACAAACTGTGAACTAGAACTTGGCCTTAGGACTAGGGAGAACTGAAAAAGGAAATGGTTATTTTGTCTTGAGTCCAAGGGGAGATTGAATAGACCCATGTGGTGAGAGGACCTAGGTTGGCTCTTGAGATGGCCAAAGCAGTGGTGCAGGAGGACAGGGTCTCATCATAGGGGAGGGGGTGAGAGAGCGAACCTGTGGGATTTGTACGATTCCAGTTCATGAGTACCTTGTAGCCTTTTAAAGAGGACAGGGAAGACATGAAATGCAGTCCCCACCCTCCCTAAGGCTGCCCTTGGAGAAATGTGTGGCACAAGAAAACTATCCGACTTAGCATCGTATGTCATGACCCGGCTTGCTTTTTGTTCTAGAAACAAGTTTCCCACTGTGAATGGGGCTGAATATTGTTCTGGGTGCTGTAATCCCAGGTGTGTGCCAGAGGAGGGAGATGCTTCCCTCTGGTCCATAGTGTGGCTCTCCTGTGCATGCATGCTGGGGGGCGAGAGGTGGAGCAGGGCCTTGGCATGTTGCCTACCCTACTTGAGCCACTTATCTGCTCAGTTACCCTTTCTTTCCATTTTCCTCTGACTTCAGAGCCTCTTAGTGTGGAAGAGACCCTGAGGACTAGAGGTGGTGCAGTCCCCATCCTTGTGAGTCTTCAGCCTTTTATGTTGTCTTTAACTCCCCCATATTACAAGGTGGCTCTCTGTTATAAAACATGTTTATTTCAGTGGAAAATTACAGCTGTGCTCTTGTTGGAAGTGGTTTCTGAACACAGTAGCCAGACTATCCCTTGCATATGTTCTAGAAGACAGAAATAAGGAACTGGTAGGAAGCCTAAGAGTAGGGCTGATGGTAGTCAGAAAGAAATCCAGGTAGACATGGGTGAATTAGTCTTGTGGAGCTGGAAGTTCTGGAAAAATGTCACTCAGGTGGTTCTTGGTTCCCTGGAGAACTTGCCACCCATTGTCGTTGTAGGCTTTAGGTTTGGAGCCTGGGTGGTGAGGATGGAAGAACTGGCGTTGCTGGTGTTTTGTAAAGTGATGTCATTGTATATTTTAATGGGAGGATAAAGCCGAAGTTCAGGTTTGATCCAGCTCATGGCCAAATAGTTCTGGAAAGAACAGACAAGAGAGTCAGCCAGAGGTAACAACTTGAAGGTGCCTTCTTCAGAGTCATCCCAAGAGCAACCAGTGCCTTTGTCCCTGTCCCCATGGTTGCCACTCACCGGAGCTGAATAGATAAAGTTGAACAGCATAAATGCTATAATCGATATGACCAAGAAGGCTATGATTTTGAAGTGGTAGCGTTTCCAGAGAACATGACAGAAGTTTTGAACAGGTGACTGCAGCCATATGAGAGAGGAGTAGGTGCGTCTGTCCATGAGCAGGGGAGATGTCAGAGGATGGAGGGGGAGGGGGCAGAGGGAATCTTCAGGTCAAGTAATCCAGAGCAGAGTGCTTTCTTTTTAAAAAAGCAACTTCTGCTTGCCTCCCCTGCCCTTCCCACGAGTCTGTTCTCTTCTGATTGTAACTGAGCACTGAGCTGCGGTGGTAGGAAGTAATTACCCTTCTCCACTTGTAGGCCCACCAGTCACTGCCCCATGCAGACTGAGGAGAAAGAAAGATTTGGTGCCTTAGCTCCTCAGGACTCTTACAGGGGAGGGTGAAGTGTAGGGTATTGATTGGGTTCCGACTGGCCTCGCCCAGCTGGCTTGATCAAGGCATCCTTCTCTGACAGAATCTCCAGAGTCATCTTCACTTTGCCCTAGGAACAGCACAGGTGGGGAATGGCTGAGGTCCAATAACAGGAGCAAGGTCACTTTAGGCCCTCTTCCCAGGGTCCAGAAAGGAAAAGGGATTTAGCTAAGGTCCCCAGAAGTCTGTTAGAGGCAGGTTATGTGGCATAGCAGTCCTATTCAATAGACATCTTCCCCATCTCCTACCGACAAGCGCCATTTGTCACCATCAAGGACCTGGCAAGGCCACCAGCCAGTTACAGTCTTCTTTTTAAAGAGGGAGAAGTGCTTGTGTTGGAGGAAGTAGGGCCACTTGGGGTCGGCATCCATCATCCTGGTGGAGCACTGGTGGGCATGCCGGGCTGGGAGGGGCATGTCAGACAGATCCAGCTCCAGGACCCCTGAGCCCAGAGAAATGTCATCAGCAAGCAAGAGCTCCCTGTCCTGTGGTCAGAAGCCCTATGCCAGGACCTCACCTAGGAAGTCATCAGGGGAGAAGATGTCATTGTCCCAGATTTGGATGATGAGCCGGGCTGGGAACTTCATCAGTGTGGGGTCCAGGCTCCATATGTAATCCTAGAGGATGGCAGAGAACATGTTTCCAGCCTGTCTCCTTGAGACTTCCCTTGGACACCTTAGTTGCCCACCACCCAGTAGTGATGGACTATCAAGGAGGAGGGTTTCTGCCTCGGTACATGTTCCTAATATTCTGTACAGCATGCAGGTCTCTGGGGGGAAGGGGAAGAGCAGCTCCTGTAGCCTGAGGCTGTTTGTGTGCCCCCTCCCTGCCATGCCTCCAGTCTGTTACCTTCTGGCTCTGGACGCACACACCCTCTGCCGCCAGGTAATCCATGGTGAAGATGAACCGCCAGTTGAAGTCGCCCTCCCCAGTCAGGGAGTGGTAGTGGATATCTGTCTTCTGCATGTCCTTTTCTAGCCCATATAACCACCTAGGGTCAGAGTCTTTTCACCTGGGGTTCATGTGTATTGTCACCATCCCCGAGCTGGAGTCCTGTGGGAAGGGCTGGCCAGCCAGCTGATGCCAGGCACAGGTGAAAGTGAAGTGGTGTCCCCCCTAGAATTGGGATGACCCAGCAGGATGACAGAACTGGGGAATTCAGGAGGCTCTGCTGGAGCCCTGCCCCTCTCCCTCACCCTTTGACGTAGATGTCGCTCATCTTCTCTCTGCTTAAAGTTTCATCTGCCAGGTCCACATGGGCAGTTTTCCAGATAATGCAGCGCAGCTCATACCTGCAGCCACTGTGCTCTGAGGCTTTGCTGAGGAATAGCTCCCCCCAGCTGCAGCCTTGTTGAGGGAAGAGAGGCCTGGGAGGCTGCCCTCCATGCTCTTGCTGAATTTGGGAAATTCAGGGCAAGAAAGCTCCCCGTAGAGCTTCCTCTATTCCCAGTAGAGAAAAGAATTACTGCAACTCAGCATTTGAGGACAGTGGTGCTCTGCACCCTGGGGAGGCTGAACTGTGACATGTAGCAATTGGGAAATGGCTGTCACTCACCGTTTAGGTTTTCTGGGGCTGATGTTGACTTGGGGGCCAGGAGGCCCCAGCCTCTTGGGGAAGATGTCCACCCACATTTGCACCTTTCCCTAGAGCCAGGATGGATGAGCTGATGGGGGTTGCTAGCCTCTTCTCAGCAGGCTGGCCTGGGGGGTCCCTGTCCCAGGTTCTAAAGTCTGTTGAGATTGTGTTCCCAACCCTGAGGGATGGAGTATAGAGGGGTGACCGCCTACCAATTTCCCCTTTCTGTGTTCATTCTTTTGCCTAGAGAATAGTGCGGTGAGATTGGGGTATGGTGGCTTCAAGGCTGATGGCGTGGTGCTAGGATTTCACTTTTGACTGGGGTCTGGAGGGTTAATGCCACTCTGCAGGTCATGCTAGACAGCCTGTCTGGACAGGTCTCCAGTTTAGGCTTGGGGTTTTCTTTATTAAGCAGTTCGCGAGCCCTGAGTAAGAGGAAACCAGACCATCGGTCCAAATTTCCAGGTCATTTTATGTTATGTAACCACGACCTAAGGATATTAAGCTAGCCACAAAGTACAGAAGTCTACAAAAGAAGATAAGGGATGAAAATGGTGAGAAAAAGAGATGAACAGGAGAGGGAAGAACTAACTACCAACACTGGAAAATAAATAAATATGTCTGTCTTTCAAACTACTGACCTAGTTTTATTTTTTTGGAGTTGACCCCATTTGAGAAAACAGATTTAATGATAGTGGTTTTTAAAAAATGCTTAGCAGAGGACTTTGTATCTAGAATGTGGTATTAGCCTGAGAGATTTGGAGAATGAGATGAGCCATTATGGTGGCTGGATGGTGAATAATTAAGGTGCTTTTGGGGGTTTTTACTCTTGTATTTGGGGTTCCTTGCCATGGAGTAAACAGCCTGCAATTAACAGCCAGAACCAGGGTTGTAATGTCTGCAGCATCTGACCTGAGGTGCTACCGCCCTGCCCCTCAGGGGAGATTAAGGCAATGGAGACGTTGGCTGGTAGGGCTCCTTAGCACTACCCACAGCTGATGCATGGCCTCCCATTCTTGTAGATGACCTTTCCAGCTTAGAAATTTTCCGTTCTAAGTGACATCACCAGAACTTCTTGCTTTTTAACATGTGCAAAACATGCTTGTCTTCTGTGCGGGTACATACCCAGACGCTTGGCCTGTCCTTCCTCTCTCATTGTGGGCATTGTCCTGGTTGGATGGGCACCCCTATCTCCTGATCCAGCCCCTCCCATAGGAGGCAGGAGTGGCCCCTTCAGTCTCATACCTGGTCAATGCCTGGCTGGCTGTCACTGTACAGTGTACGGGTCTCCACGTGCTCAGGTACTAGCCCCTGGGTGTGCAGGAGATATAGTGCGAGGCGTTCCTTCTTGGGTCCCAAACCATGAATAGTAGGAGACTCGGGCTCTGGATTGGAGGGAGATGGAGGGAGGGGATCACG